CAGTTTTTATTTTTTATTCAACTGTATATACAATTATTTGAAGTAATTTGCTATTTTGCCATTAAGCACTAAAACTTTACAAAACCAAGGTTGCTGATAGGTCACATTGTAGTCCGGGGGTCTCGACATCCAGGCTCCGAGGGCCATTGTCCTGCAGGTTTTAGATATCTCCCTGGGTCAACACCCCTGATTTAAATGATTAGTTCATTATCAGGCCTCTGGAGAACTTCAAGACATGTTGAGGAGGTAATTTAGCCATTTAAATCAGCTGTGTTGCATCACGGACACATCTGAAACCTGGAAGACACCGGCCTTCGAGGCCTGGAGTTCGAGATCCCTGTTGTAGTCAGAGTGAAAACACACATCAGCTTTCATTAACCATGAGTCCACGCCCTGTGTCTTTAGGTGACTATGAGCGTCTTAAACAAGAAGGCACTGAGGTCATCCTGGATGTTGTCCAAGGTTTCAAACACCCGAACTACAACACCAAGACCATAGACAATGATATTGCCCTGCTGCGCCTACAGACCCCCGCTCCCACGACTGAGTACATCGTCCCCATTTGTCTGCCAGGACGCGAGATGGCCGAGCGGGTGCTCCACCTGAACGGCACTAAGACTGTTGTCTCTGGCTGGGGCAAAGAGGACATGAACAGCACTAAGCACAGCTCAGTGCTCAACGTTATTGAAATCCCATTGGTCAGCCACAGCATCTGTACTCAGCAGATGTTCCCCCACACGATCTCCAACAACGTCCTCTGTGCCGGTATCCTTGGACAGAGGAAGGATGCCTGTGAGGGTGACAGTGGGGGCCCGATGGTCACTCTGTACCGGGACACCTGGTTCCTGGTTGGCCTGGTTTCCTGGGGTGAGGGCTGTGGACAGCTGGACAAACTGGGAATCTACACAAAAGTGTCCAACTACAATAATTGGATCAATAGTGTGCGTGAAGAATGGGACAGAGGCCATCGCCCGGAAGGACGCCCACGCTTCTGAACCAATTTATCCACAACAGCTGTTTCGGGCTCTGTTCTGTTGAACCCACAGAAAAATGTAACACACTTTGTTAAATAAAATGATTTACCATGAAGACACAGCTGTTTGCTTTTTTAAAACCAGTGATTTCCACTAGTTCCAGACAATTTAAATTCCCTCTGACCTGTAGTGCTACATATCTGTTTAATATAATGTGAAATATTCAATTAATCAATGGAAAAATGTCTGCCTATAACAAAACCAAATGGTGTTTGCCTTTAGATGCTCTAAGTGCCAAAAAATATATTTGTATCAGCTGACTCTTTCCAGAAATTACTGATGAATTACTCAAAAAGAAAATCTTTGATGAAAAATGTAGGACTTATTTTCTGTATCAAATTACATCCATCAAATAAAGGAAAACATGCAAACATTACAGCTCAGCTGCTCTCAGTGTTTCAAGCCTCTCACCACACAGGTCACAGCCATAGTTTGGTAAGATATCATCGTCTCCTTGAACAGACAGATTTGATCGTGGGCTAGGGTGGAGTCCTGTATCCATGAAGTGTACCTGCTAATTAGTACAGAATATGTCTTTGATTGGCTACACCACAGAGACTCTGTTAGTTTGATTCTTGGGTATTGAATATAGCTCCTGGGACATGGAACGTTACACCTCTGGTGGGGAAGAAGTCAGAACTAGTTGGTTCGAATTGTTGGCACTACGTTGGACATGTTTCTGGTGAGCCTTGGATCTGTTCATAGTTTTTTT